TTTGTGACTATTCTTGGGCTGGAAAGTCTGCTCTCGCCCAGAATTAATGATCTTGAAGACAAGGATGGGTAGACCTGAAGATTCAGAAACCTTTTAGAACTTTGCTGATGTTTGCCAAACTGCCGAAACTCAGAGAACCTCATAGGGCTCTGTTGCAGTCTTCGCCCTGCAAAGCTTGGTCCTTGTGAGGTTTGGGGACACATTTTGCATATGTAGTGTCCTTGTTTCATTACAGTTCGGAATTTTCTGAAAGTTTCCCTTTGGTGATCTGACGCTTAAGTAGAAAGGACCTTGGAGTAGTGCTGTGTACTTAAAAGTTACACAAAGTAGAAGAGAAATGCTGCATCAGAGCTACCATGTGCGTGAAGCCTACTTCACATGGTGAGAAAGTTTTTTTCAACCAGCAAAGCTCAGTACCTAGACTGACTGAAATGGTTAAAGAAGAAAGTGTTAGTCACTCAGTCCTTTCTGATTCTTTGTGACCCATGGGCTGTAACCCACCAGGTTACTCCTCTGAAATCCTCCAGGCAAGAATACTTGAGTGGGTTGACATTCCCTCCTCCAGGGGATCTTCCCGACCCAGGGATTGAACCCTGGTCTCCTGCACTGCAGGCAGATTCTTTACCATCTAAGCCACCAGGGAAGCCCTGAAGTTTGGTGCTTTTCTGCATAAGACAAAATCAGTGTTCTTTCTTGCCCTGTGTTTAGTCCTATAGGTACCTTGGAAGTTTTTTACATGCTTCATTATTTAAAATAAAGAATCTGTAGAAGTTAATCTTTTCCTGTTTGGCTTAACAGAATGCTTTTAGACATTTCTGATGGGATGGAGGAGGAGGGGCAATTACTGTTCCTGTCTCATCAGCTTACTTTCTGCTTCTTTCTTTGGGGTCACTTCTGCCTCCCTGTATTGCTTCTCACTTCACAGGGGCATTCCTGGAATTCCTCTTCATTTTTTTTTTTTGGCGGGTGAGTTATTCCACTCATGCTTGTGATGACACTGTGCGCTCTTAAGCTTGGCTTTCTCCTCCTTGCTTTGTGCAGTAGTTTGGCTTTATAGGCAAGAATTCCAGGTGCTTAAACATAGAGCAAGAACATGCAAGTTGAACTGGATATTTTCTTTTTCCCTGAAGGTTCTGCTTAGCTGGTGAATTGTTAGATTCTTCCTGGCAGAACAGTTGGTTTGTTTGTTTTTTAAATCTATGTCAGTTTTCCTTTTTACTATGAAAAAAGCAGACCATGGATTTTTCTATTCAAAAAAAGTTTTAACCTTGCCTTATCAAGACTTATAATAAATAGGTGATCTTGTTTTTTTAAATGACAAATTATTCTTGTGGTTAGTGGTTAGGCAAATTATGCTTATAACTAATAAATGTGGAGATCAGTTTTAGTACTACCTTCGGACACTCTGGTTGATCTAAAAGCACTGTTCATTAGCAAAAGTAATAGGACAGATCAAAGTGTCATTCCTAATTAGATCTTGTTAAAGCTCTTAAAAATGACTTGTGAACCTCAACAAGCAAGGTGGTTTATTTCTCATGAACCTTAACCTATATATTTTTTACATGTGGGTTTTCATTCAAAATATGAAACCCAATAAAAACAAAAGCAGAATCAAACCTCCATAAGAATGTGGTTTAAGTTGCAGACTTCATTTTTTTAAAGTCAGGCCAATGTCTACATTTTTTAGATATTTGTGTACAAGCAGTAAACACAGTGGGATTCTTCCCAGGTGGTTCAGTGGTAACAAATTCGCCTGCCAAAGCAGGAGACATGGGTTCGATCCCTGAGTCGAGAAGATCCCCTGGAGAAGGAAATGGCAACCCGCTCCAGTATTCTTGCCTGGGAAAGCCCATGGACAGAGAAGTCTGGAGGGCTACAGGTAATGGTGTCGCAAGAGTCGGACACAACTGAGCGACTAAACAAAACCACCACTAAGCCCTGGAGACTGCTTCCTTGATTCTAGGAAGCCGGTGTCTCCAGCAGTGAAGGAGGCCTGAAGAGAAAGCCACATCCCCTTTGTGGCCTTAAAATGGGAGGGGGCGGGAAACCCAATACACAGAAAGGAGGGCAGGGTCGTCCCTGCAGACATGTGGTGGCTTAGAAGTTAAAACCACTCCTCTGGATTTTCTCTGTAGTTTGGATTTTAATTACTCTGTTTTAGTACCTTTGTAATTCTCCAACTGTCTTTCCTTAATTTGTGTTTGGAAAAGATGATTTTCACTGTTTTGTAACACAGCCTTAGATCAGAGATTAGGAGTGTTTACTTGCTTTCATCTCAGTCAAAGTTTCTGTCCTCCAAAGTTCAGATGAACTGGAGACTCAGGTGAGCTGGAGATGGGAAAGTAACCACAGAGTTTTCTTCCCAGTGGGAGTGATTTCCAAGAAAGGAGATTTCTGAAGCCTAATTAGGCTTCTGACAGTCTGAATTGTTGCAACGCTGGGACTTTCTGGATTTGGGGTCAAGTCATCTCCTGCTAACTTTGGCAGAGCAGAGGAAATCCTCGTGTATGTGTCTGGTATTTGAATTCCCACTCTAGGATCTGGAATTTTCTAATTCCATGTTCAGAAAAAGAGATTCCCCCAATGTTTATGGCAGAACCTGTGCCCAGGTTAGACTTCGGACTTGGAAACAGAAGCTGCGATTGAGAAAGTCTGAACTTCACAGAACAAATATGGAAATCCCAGTGTGTCTGTGTAGAGTGATAAGCCATCTCGTTTCTGAGTTCTCTCAGAAATGTTGAAGTTGATGAAGTCTTTGTGAATTTTTCTCTTAACCTCAGATTTTTTTTTTTCCTTGATTGACTGAAAAGGCAGCAGCTGTAGCATGTCATTTTCAGAAACAGCCTTATTCTAATAAGTCTTACCGTTTAAAATGGCGTGATTGCTTTTTTTTTTTTTTTTTTTTTTTTTAGCTGTAAAGCCTTTAAACTTTGGGAAAATACCTTTATACCTTTCTATTGTCAGTCTCTGCTTCATCAGGGTCCTGATTCCAGATGTGGGCAAGGAACTGCTGCAGCTCAGGACTGATTCTGGCTTTGGCTGGTCTGTGTTTATTCACACTTTCCTTCCTTATGCCTAGAACATTTCCTTTCTTCTTGGCTTGGTAGACATACCTGGCTTGAAATTGTCACTGCTGGTGAAAAGTCCACCGCATTCCTGGGGTTAACCAGTGGATACTGGGCACCCACCATATCCTGTGAGAAGAGAATGGTGCACCCTAACCACACAAAGTAACTTCGACACCTCAAGAGCAACCTCGTAAAAATTTTTGTTTGATAGAAATTTAAAAGATTATTTGAAATGCCTCTTTAGTCTTTCGCTTTCCCTGTCTTTGACTTTTGAAGTTTTGATTTATCAGGGGACAACATGTCATGTTTTTCTGCTAAAAATGGAAGGTGATGTCAAAATGAAATTGGGTTTCAAAAAGACTGGTAGCTTATGTTTTTTCCCTCTATCCTGGAGTCAATTTTATATATATATACACATAATGATATATATGTATATAAAATTATTTTCCTGTTGTGCTTGTGCAATGTCAGTATACCGAAAATGATTTTTCAAAAAAAAAATAGCATGACAAACTTATTTAATTTTATAATTGGCCTCATGCAATCGTGCATCCTTTGGGGTTCTTAAAAGAACAGAAGAAATGTCCTGTATGATTAGAAGGGGGTTCTGTGGTTAAATTAATTGGCTGGTAACTTGAAGCTTTAGGATTTAAGTTAGGCTGGATTTAACTCAGTCTCGTATCCTAGGTGTTACTCCCAGAGATGGAACTGTGTAAAAAAGAGACAGAATTCAGTATGGCATTTATTACATTCTTTTGCTGTAACAGGAAGTGTCTAATAGGGTTTGGGGATAAGTTTAAGTAAGCATGCTCAAAGGTCATGGCTCATTGTAACTTGGAGACAGGGTGGTACGAGATGAGGTTCACGATGGTTCTCTATGCATAGCTGAATCTACCCTTTTCTTCTCTCCCTCAGCCTCCATTGTACTTACAGAGTGATCTTGAACTTGGGGCTCTTTGGCAAGAAGTAGCTCCAGTTATGGTGCTTCCTACCACTCCGCTTGCAGTAGCCCAGCTGTGTGTGTGTGCTCAGTCCCTAAGTCGTGTCCTACTCTTTGTGACCCCATGGACTGCAGTCCACCAGGCTCCTCTATCCATGGGATTTTTCCAGGCAAGAATACTAGAGTAGATTGTCTTTTCCTATTCCGGGGCATCTGCCAGTATCCTACACTGGCAGGCAGATTCTTTACCACTGAGCCACCTGGGAAGCCCTTAGCCCAGCCATAACCACAGTTAAGACTTTTTGATCTCTTATTAAGTGCGGGCACTGCCCAGGTTCACTTAATCCAAGGTAGGTGCTGTCGTCATCTTCATTTCATGAGTGAAGAATTGAAGGAGCAGCGACCTGAAGCTACCTGCCCCTCCCCTGCAGGGGTAGAGGTGGATTTACACTTTAGGACATTGGGTTCCAGATGCTCTGCCCTTGACCCAGGTGCCTTTCAGGCTCTACTGTTTGAACTAAAGATCCTGGCTCCTCCCCTTGATTTTAAGTCAAACAGTGAGGCTTCCTTGTCTTGTTGTAGAAAGAAATATAGTACTGTTACAGACGGTAAAGAATCCACCTGCAATGCAGGAGACCTGGGTTCAATTCCTGGGTCAGGAAGATCTCCTGGAGGGGGAAATGGCAACCCACTCCAGTATTCTTGCCTGGGAAATAGAATGGACAGAGGAGCCTGGAGGGCTACAGTCCATGGGGTCGCAAGGAGTCGGACATGTGTGAGTGACAGAGCACGCATGACTGTTACACAAAAACTCAAATGAAGTTTTTGGCCAGCCCAACACTACTCGACTTTTGTTTGCTTTCTTTTCCGAGAATTAGAGGCGATGGGAGCCACGTGATCCTCCAAAGATTTAGCTCAAAAGGGCAAAGTTCATGCATGACTGGCAAAGGGGATTTTCATCTGACAACTTGTGTATCTTTGCTGCTTCTCAGGGTCTCCTTACTACGACAACGTCCGGCCCCTCTCTTACCCAGACTCGGACGCTGTGCTGATTTGCTTTGATATCAGTAGACCAGAGACTCTGGACAGTGTCCTAAAAAAGGTAAGTGCTAGGGAGGGATGACACAGATCAGTACTGGCTACATATAAAGTAGAAACATTTGGTCAACTGACAGCTCAGACACTCCAGTCACCCTGCTGTATATTCTGTAATTAAAACATTGAAAAGGACACTCTCACATTATAAGAGGGTTTCCACTCATATGTGACCTAAGTTTTGATGATGAACCTGCTTAACATTTGATCTCATTTTAAGAGAGAAAATACCTTTTTAAGAACCCCTGTGTTAGACTTTGGGCGGCAGTGGTGCTGCTAACAATAACAACACCCTGTTACTGTTCACTGTGTCTTCCTTCTTTTCTTCCTTCTTTCATTAACCTGTAAACTGTGCTTACTTTTCAGGTTTATGTTTGACCTCGAGTCAGGGCTTGAAATGAATGCAGTCCTTGCTGTTTTAGTTTAAAAAAAAAAATACCTGTATTTCAGTAATGATGTTATTTATTAAAAACAGAAATATAATGCATAGGGGAGATATAGGGCTATGTTTCCAGGCAATAGACCAGGTGACTTGTGATCGGGGTGTTGTCATACACTAGTAAACACAGTGGTTGTATACAGGTTGTAAGTGACGTCGCATGGCTAGTGTCTGGAGACAAAGGTAAGGGAGGTTTTGTCCATGGAGAGGGGACCCTAGGAAGCTCTGTGTGGAACCCAGGGAAGGTCAGGAAGAAGGGACCCTGTTGCAGGTGGCCTCTGGTCCTGGCGAGGCCAGAGGAGGGAGGAGACAACCTAGGACTGAGCCCCAGGATAGCTGGAGAAGGCACATGCCTGTCCGAGGGCCAGCGTGGGGCAGGCTCTAGTTGACTCTTCAGTCCTGGCCTGAATGCCCCGACGTTTCAGAATCAAACCTTTCTAAAGCCCCTTTTTCCTCCATGCACTCAGGCTGCATCTGAGGGTGTGCTTGAGAGCACAGCAGTGTCCTTGTATTTTGTATGTTTTTATTAGTTTGTTTTTCCCTGTTTTGTTTGACTACTGGCCTTGTGTGTCGTGGTGAAATTAGGCTCTAAGGTGTATCAACCCCTCCCTCCAGCCCCGCCTCTTTACTAAACATGACAAATACAGTTCAATGAAATACTAATTTCTTAAAAGATGAAAGGCTCTTTTTAGCTTTTTAACTCATTTCAGTGTTGAGTAACGTTTGTATCTTAACGCGTGTGATGTGACTGTCAGATTCCAGCAGGAATATGCCTTTCCTGCCTTCGATGCGTGTGAACAGTTGCTAGATGGGAGGCCAGAGTCATCACACAGCCGAAGGATGACAGAGCAGCTTGTCTCAGGCTAGTCTATAGATCAAAGAGGCTCCATGTTTACTGGAATTCTTACTTGATGTAGTATCGGGTTATGCATAATTTATGGTGAAAAACCCTGCTTCTGTTTTATTTTGCTTCTGTCTGCAAAGACCAAATGAGGAGTGACTTGGCCTTAGAGATATTAATGAATGTGTTTTACGTTTGTGTGAAGTTTAAGGCTCATGATAACCCCTGCTATGGGTTGTCCTAAATTAATTGAATCCTTTAAGTCCTTGAATATCAAAGAGGTTAGAGTGACTTAGAGCTGGAGATATCTTATTCTTTTTTATTTTTCCCAATTCACCTTCTAGTTCTTACTCCAGGGCTGTCTAACACATGGTAGATGCCTCTAAATAATGCCTCTAAATAATACTGGGGGGAAAGGGAGGAAGGAGAGGAAAAGGGAGAAAGGAGGGAGGAAGTAAAGTGAAATGAAAGTCACTCAGTCATGTTCGACTCTTTGCGACCCCATGGACTGTAGCCCACCAAGCTTCTCCTTCCATAGGATTGTCCAGGCAAGAATAGAGTGGGTTGCCATTCCCTGGACTTTTATGCAAAGTAGGTATTACTCCCTTCAGTATCCTGGTGTACTTTGGGCTAGAGTTTATTGCCCACACTTCTGAATCCAGAGGTGTCCTCTAGAGATCTTTTAAATTACTCATGCAAGATGTCCCTTTTATGTAGTATTATAGACATGACTCATCACCCTCCTCTCTTGTGAATTCCTTTCTGGAAGACACAGCTACATTGTAATCATCTCAGTAACCACCACAGAATTTAGAGCACTGAACACATATTTGAGAATGTGGGCAGGGAGAGTCAGGCAGAGATTCCTGACCTCAGCACCTCTGATCACTCCTCTTCAATGTCAGAGCTCTCCTATGAACTGTCTGAACTCCTGACTCCCATCCTGATGGTCATCTCCAGCTTGAGGAAATGAAACTACAAAAAGTCATCCATTTGTTCTTCTAAGGGGACAATTGGAATTCCCTGACAGCCATTTCTGGAAGTTCTAAGAGTTCTTGTTGGGCTATGAAACAACTGGCTGGGGTAGACTAAATTAATAACTTATGTAGCATAAAACTAACTCAAGGGCATGTGAGCTATAGGACCAGATGCCTCTCTGATAACCCAGGAGATGGGCCTTTGCAAATGTCATGGTCTTTGTTGATTCAACCACTCCCATGGAAGCTCCTTAAAGGCAGGAGATTGTGCTGTATTAACTCTAATCTCCAGTCTCTGAAATCTCCCTAGAGATTTCAATGCAGGGTGACTGCTCTGTCTTTCTAGGTGGGGGTCAGTGAATGCATATCTCTGCTTGTGTTGACTCTTCCCATGCTGGGAAGTACCAGCTGAACATATCCAAGGACATAGTGACTTGTCAGAATATATAATTTTTCTTAAGTCGTGTTTATCTTTCAGAGATGCCTCGATAATTAAGAAATTGCCTTAGCTACTTTCTGATAACACCCAATAAGTCTCTTACAGTAGGAATGAGTCACAGAGAAAGACAACAGATAATAACCTGCTTAGTCACTTGTCATGTCTGACTCTGTATGGCCCCATGGACCATAGCTCACCCAGGCTCCTCTGTTCGTGGGATTTCCCAGCAAGAATACTAGAGTGGGTGGCCATGCCCTCCTTCAGGGGCTATCCCTACCCAAGGATTGAACCCACATCTCCTGTATTTCAGGAAGGTTCTTTACCTGTCGAGCCACCGGGGAAGCCCCATAGATAATAATATGGTTCCCTAATGGATCCATGGGCTTCCCAGGTGGCGCTAGTGAAGAGCCCGCCTGCCAATAAAGGAGACATAAGGGACTTGGGTTCAATCCCTGGGTCAGAAAAAATCCCGTGGAAGAGAGCATGGCAACCCACTCCAGTATTCTTGCCTGGAGAATCTCCTGGTTCCTCTGCCACCAGGACAGGAACCTGGTGGGCTATAGTCGAAAGGGACACAAAGAGTCAGACACGACTAAAGCGACTTAGCACACACACAATGGATCCATACTTAAAAGCAGTAACATTTAATATCTACTCGGCCGATAATTGCAAGCTTGCTCCTTCATCTGAAGTGACACTCCCTTTTAAACGTCCCTTCTGAGTCCTATTTCCAGTGCCTGCCAGTAAAGAAATTGTTTTCCATTGTACGGATGCCAGCACCCTGTTAATTCTTCATCTTCTTCTCCCCCCATAGTGGAAAGGTGAAATCCAGGAGTTCTGTCCCAACACCAAAATGCTCTTGGTTGGCTGCAAATCTGATCTTCGGACAGATGTCAGTACATTAGTAGAGCTCTCGAATCACAGGCAGACACCGGTGTCCTATGACCAGGTATGTATATAGTCAGTATGCACATGTGGATTATAAAGAGTGACAGAAATGAAACATCACTTGTAATAAATAAACTGAAAAGTAGCTACTTTTCTACAGCTTCAAGCAAGGGTCACCATCAAGTGCAGGTCCCTCTCCTGAGGTGGAGAATGAACACGCTGTGTCCGGACTGTGCCCATCTGTGAACAGAGATGAAAGGGGATGGTGTGTCTGTGCCTCTGGCTTCTCAGCAAACGTCCAGGCCCCTTCCTGGCAGTCCACTGCTCAGATTAATGTAAAAACTGCCCAGTGAGCACCAAAGTGGTCCAGGATGAGGTTAGGCCAAAATTATAGTGATATTTTAATTGTGAGTTTCTCAAAAAGCTTTCCAACATTGGTTGAGCAGTTGACTGTGTAAGGATTCATATGTGTACATGTATACATAAGGCAAATTTGAGAGAAAATCCTTTAAAATCTTCTGTCATTCAGCAGAAGAATCATGTGGCACTTGATTACTTGAGGACAGAAACAGTGGCTCATATTCAACCCTTTGTATTTCTCTGCAACTCTCACTGGGTTTAAAGTTAAATAGATTTAAGAGAGAATGTGGCCAAAACCAGTAATACTCTTAAAGAGAGTTAATCTTATTTTACACTAAGCAACATAATAAAATACTACAAAAGGCCATTGTCAGTAAAATAGAGCACCCCCCACAAAAAACCGTCTTTTAGAGTTTCATCATTCCTGCAGGCATTTCCCCCAAGTATTTAGGAAGGAGGAGGATTAGTTTCAGAAGTTCATTCTCTTAAAACTTACAACCAAATTCTAAAGAGAGTTCATGTTGAAATAGCTAGAATTCTATTGATTCATTGTTTGACCAGTCATGCTGTGGTCTTCTTTGTCCTTCATTCCAGTTAACACAACTCTGGCTATTTAAATAAGTTATTCTGATGTAGACATGCTCTTCTTGGGTCCCCTTGTTGCCTGGTCCACATTTAAAAATTACATATTTTATGTCTCCTAAATTATAGATGTATAACAGTATTATTCCTTTCCTCAATTTGTTTTGGCCCTTAATCATATAAGTTTCAAAACTGATTCTAAATTCTCTTACGGCTGCTTTTTGTACAGCCTGTTAGCCTTGAGTGCCATTTGCTCAGTTGCTCAGTCATGTCTGACAATTTGCGACCCTGTGGACTGTAGCCCACCAGGCTCCTCTGTCCGTGAAATTTTCCTAGCAAGAGTACTGGAGTGGGTTGCTGTTTCCTACTCCATGAGTGCCATTTACACTCGAGAAAAGAAAAGCTGAGTGCCCCATGAGGTGCTGAAATAGGCTGGAAGAGCCAGATGACTCTACCAGAGCTGTGTGAAAAATGCAGCATTTACATCCGTGGTCTTTAGCTTTTTCACTCTTTTCCAGCAGTAAGATTCTCTGGGTAATTCTATACTCTGCTGTAACTTGGAAGACCTAAGTGTCTAGTTACCCTAGGTTACAGTTGGTAGTGAAGATAAATCACCTCCTAAGACTTCTACTTCCTGGCAGCACCCCATACTAACTACTTGATGATTGGGCTGTTTATTGATAACCCAGTGTCATTACACCAGCCTGTAGCACCTCTGGGAAGTCAAGCAGTGCCTACTGAGTGATGACAATTGAACATCTTAAGACTGGTCCTTGACTGGAAATATTTATGAAATAATAAAGAAGGCAGTTAAAATGTTAAAAAAGATTTTTTCATCAATACTTAGAAAATTCAATTACATATTAGAAACATTTTGTGATGCATTATAATTTTGAGGTATTGGAATATACTTTCTAACTTTCCTCAGAGACTTATTGCTGATCACAATCCCTTTTGCTTCACAGGGAGCAAATATGGCCAAACAGATCGGAGCAGCTACTTACATTGAATGCTCAGCTTTACAGTCAGAAAATAGCGTCAGAGACATTTTTCACGTGGCCACCTTGGCATGTGTAAACAAGACAAATAAAAACGTTAAGCGGAACAAATCGCAGAGGGCGACAAAGCGGATTTCACATATGCCTAGCAGACCAGAACTCTCGGCAGTGGCTACAGACTTACGAAAGGACAAAGCCAAGAGTTGTACTGTGATGTGAATCTCCGGTTATTTTTTATGAGGACAAGGAAATTAAATGTAAAAACCACCACCAACAAAACAGAAAGGTGAGGTCTGAACAAAGTGCACAGCCAAAGTCACGTGTTCTGGAGGCTTAGGAGGCATTTGGAAGGATTGTTCATCTTTTTGGAATCCTGTCCTTAGATTTGGCATGTAGAACAAGTGGTGGGAAGTGAGTTCATTGAAGAGTTTTGAAATGTGACTTGAAAAATATGCCAAAAAAGAGAGATTCAGATGGGCTAGAGGTTGAAGAAGAGGAATGCGAGTACCTACAAGAAGAAAAATCACACTCTGAATGGTGCTTGCATTTTTGTTTTCTTTGTTACATTCTATTCACGGATCTCTACTTTGATTTAATTTTTAAGTGTTTTAATCTCCTTTACAAAAAAGTATATATTAATATACCATCCTCATTGGGGAACTGGCACTGTGACCTTAGCATTTAGTTTTCTAGAGGATGTGATCTAATTTTCTCCTAGCTCATCATTAAAATGGAAATTGTATCAGGACCCATGGGATATCCAGAGGAAAGTTGGTGAGGCTTTGAAATCTTGCTGTCCGGAAGATAGCTGAGCGAGATGGTTCTCAAGGAAGGCCTTTGCAGTGTTGCGAGGTGTGGAGACCAGTACTACAAAGATTGAATAGGTCAACTAGAGGAAAAGTGTCAATTTTTATTCAGTCTGATGGTTCTGTTCATCCTTGTGATTGTCATTAAAAAGTGGTAAATTGCTCAATGTGATATTTTTGTGTGCTGTTTAGAAAAGAGGGTGTGTGATTTTTTTTTTTTGCCATCATTGATAAAAATGCAACGTCAAATAAAAGGTGTCTTGGTATGACGTCATAGAATGATCCAAGGGGGAAACCATGTAGGTACTATTGATATTTTCACCTGACCGAGATAACGAATGAAGGATAGTAGCAGAAAGCACAGTTTGTGAGTTAAGTTGTCTGGATGTAAGAGACCAAAAGTACAAAGCAAAAGGCCTATTTTGGGATGAAGCTCCAAAGTTGGCAACATTTGATAATCAGTTGGCTTATTTCAATATCTTTCAATGAACATGATAAGAATGGCCCTCTGTTCCAAGCTTTTGAGAATCCTTAGAGGAAAATTATGTAATGTCAGTCCTACACTATCCTATGGCATTTCTAGAGAGTGATTGCTAAACCTCACTTAATCAGATTCTGCCAAGGCCGTGTTCCATACTTGATCACTATTGTTACATAAAATAATCAGCCTTTAAAATAGTTTACAGATATTTTTTGACCAGTTGCTTTTAGAGCTTCTTTGAGAGAAGAAACCAGATCCGACCTTTTTATTGTTGGCGCTTGTTGAAAACGAGCTTTCTTTCCAATGATAAAGCTTCATTTTTGAAGTGTTGAAGCCGTGCTCCCATTCATTCAGTTGTGGCAGGAGAGGAGATTAAGGTAATTACAACACTCAGTCTGTGTCTTACAAGCACTTTGTTTTGTCTCTGCAAGAAAATACCATTCCAGTCATTTTCCCCAAGAAATACAGACGTTTTACCAACATGATATGCTCTGATTAATGCAGCATTATGCTTTGGGCAGTATTACAAAATAGCTGGCAAGTGCTTTCTGTATTTAAATATTGTAAAAAGAAAATAAGTTATAACTGTTATAAAGCAGAACTTTCGTTGCAGTTTTTTAAATGTTGAAGTCACTTTGTATGTTTGTTTGGTCAATGTTTCTGCAGTATTTATTAAAACATACTTTTTTTTGTTTCTTCAAATAAAAAAGTAACCATGTCTTTGTCAAAATGTGAGCTGCCTTTCATTACCTACTTCCTGATTTAGCTGTTTATTTTTCTTTAATAGAGCTGATTACAGAATCTGGCCTCACATTTCCTGGATGGGTAGGCCTTGGAATTATTTGCTTCTTGGCAGAAGTTGGAATTTCTTGGGGGAAGATACATCTGTGTATATAGAAGTTTTTCATGATGATTTCAAGTCTCGAGAAGGAAGTGGAGTGTAATTAGAATGAGTAATTTGATCATAAACAGAGCCACCATACTGCTTAGGATTAATTCATAGAAAATGTGGGGATTTCCTTCAACCCTTCAGTAATAACAGTATGATGTAGTCTCAGGGTCCAGGTTGATTCTGATAATAGGGCTAGTTTGCTTCTGTGGCCTGTGTAGCCCCAAACCTCAATTGCTAATCCAGCATCCACCTTGCAAGGTGTGCTCTTATTCACAGAGGCCTGTTGTGCAGATGACCCAGGACTCAGCTATTGTATTAAAGAAAACAGGAAAAAAAAAATGGCCTTATTTATGGTAGCAGCATCTCTAAATAACACAGAACAGCATAATTCAGGCTTCCTCAGTGACCTGAAAGTTGTAACGTCAGCATGAAAAAGCTTAGGATCAAGAGAGACATGGTGGCCCATGAACCCAGTCTTTTAGCTGAGACTCTTACTTGCAAGTTTTACAGAAATGTCCAGAGATACTCCATGTGTGTATCTCACAGCTATTTAGGAAAATTCAGCTATCTCTACACAGTTAAGTCACTTCATATAAAAACTACGTCCTTGTGGCTTTTTTTTTAATTGGAACATAATTTATTTATAATGCATTAAGTTTATGCTGTACAGTGAATCAGCTATGTGTATACATATATCCCCTGCTTCTTGGGCCTCCCTCCCCCCATCTCCCCCCCCCACCCCACCCCTGCCAGGTCAACATAGAGCACCAAGCTGATCGCCCTGTGTTATTCCGCATTTCTCACTAGCTAGCTCTTTTATACACGATAGTGTATATATGTCAATCCTAATCTCCCAGTTAGTGCCACTTCCTCCCATGTCCACATGTCCCTTCTCTACATCTGTCTCTACTTCTGCCCTGCAAATAGGTTCATCTGTACCATTTTTCTAGATTTTGCATATATGCATTAATATTAAAATATTTGTTTTTCTGACTTCACTCTGTATGACAGACTCCAGGTCCATCCACATCTCTATAAAAGGCTTTAGAAACCTGAGCTGTAGTGACTTGCTTGAGAATAATTCTCAGAAACACAAAGCAGAGAAAACCAAGGATCTAGCATGTAGGACCGAACAAATGAAAGAGCGTTGACATTATGGGATAGTCTCATGAAAATTTTTTTAAAAGCCCAGAATTACCAAAAATACCTAACTCATTCTTGTCAGCATGTAGTAAAGGGAATAAAAAGATTTTCCTAATCCTTGATGTTGAGTAACTTCTTAGGCATAACATCTAATTGGGCTTGCAAGAAACCCGTTTCTCAACAATGACTGACACAAGAGGAAAAACCCAACAGTTGAGTTTCTGCTGACCTTGGCAGTATTTTATGGGTTGGACAGTAATGTTTCCCTCTGTTGAATTGTTCTTTCCCAGTGGCTTTAATTTGTTCAACAGAAAAGAAAAAAGTTGGTCTTCAGCCCTAGGCATGTATGCTTTCCTTTTCTCCTCTGAATTTTTGCTTCAGCAAACATTTATTCCAAGCATTCTGTGAACATTCCTTTCTTTTGATTAATGATCATGATTAATGCCTCTTTAAATGCTAAAAGGTGATTTTCAAACTCTGAGTAAGACTTTGTGTCTCACTTCTATTAATCTTTCCCAAGCGTAGGAATAGTTGCTTAGAAGATTCTCACCTTGTAGGGAATGTGCCTTAAATGCAAATTTAGAAATAACCCAGGGAATTATTTTTTATTAGAAGAAATAAAAAAAGAATCAACTCATCCTTAAGACTCCTGAAACTCTTAACATTCCATGTCCTTTTTGATGGGCTATGTTGACATTAGCATTCTGTTCTAAATCTAGCTTTTATTTTTGTCCTTCCATCAAGAACATATTACTGACTGCCTACTATGTGCTTTCCACTTTACTAGGCTTGACACATAATTATTCCCAAAACAAAGTCTCTGTCCCAGGAAATTTATAATTGATTTGAGAGAAACAGTCATGAATGCACCATGTCCAGGTGTGACCTCTGTGGACATTAACTGAGTCATAGACACTGGCTGATGGAAAACATTCCTGTATGTAGCCAGGTACCAATGCATTATGCTGAAGAATTGATGCCTTTGAATTGCAGTGCTGCAGAAGACTCTTGAGAGTCCCTTGGAGACTCCCAAGGAGATCAAACCCATCAATCCTAAAGGAAATCAACCCTGAATATTCTTTGGAAGGACTGATGCTGAAGTTGAAGTTCCAATACTTTGGCCACCTGATGCAAAGAACCAACTCATTGGAAAAGACCCTGATGTTGGAAAAGACTGAAGGCAAAAGGAGAAGGAGCAGCAGAGGGTGAGACAGTTAGATGGCATCACCAACTCAATGGACATGAGGCGAAGCAAACTCTGGGAGATAGTGAAGGAGAGGGAAGCCTGGCGTGCTTCAGTCTGTGGGGTTGCAAAGAGTCAGACACAACTTAGTGACTGAACAAAAACCACCACCAATGCAATAGTGACATGTTACACCATACTTAGAATGGTATGATGGTGCAAAAGAAGTTTGCAAGTGCATCCTAATGGCTGATATCCATAAATGGTGACTAGGGAAGAGCAGTGTGAGTGTGAATGATGGTTGTCAGTCATCAACATCCTATTTGTATAAGGACTTTAGATTTTTATGCTAGATTAGAAGTCCAGTAGGGGATTACATTACTACATAATCCATGGTTGGTTGAATCCAAGGATATGAAACCAGGGATACAGAGGAAACATGAATGTCCAGAGCTATGTTGGCTCTGAGTTGCATTTGAATTTTCAACTGTACTAAAGATGGGAGCTTCAACCTCCACATTGTTCAAAGGTCAACTGTATTATAATATGAACACAATGTATAACACTATGATTATTATTTTAAAATCCTCCAGGTTTCCAGTCTTCCACATAAATGGTGTAGATGTGGAAGACGTGGCAAATTGCTGGTGAGTGGAGACCTCTTCATTCCTCAGGTTCCCCAGAGGGGGCAGCTATTTAAAAACTTTAGGTTCC